AGAGGCTATTTTCACATGCATACAAACCTTTCCAAATGCAATATCCAGCACTGCAATCAATTCAGTTTGTGCACTCTAGGAAGGAGGGATCCAGAGAAAACAGTGCACTTTTTACACTCATGTGAATGATAGAAAGATGGATGATCACTCAATGACACAGCACAAGCACAATTTCAGTATGGACGTATACCTGTACACGGTACTTTGCTCCTCTCATTTAAACCCAGTGTACTGCATTCGAAAGCAATCAAGACGGTGTACGTGTACATGTATGTACGCAAGTACCATACACTATTTGTGCACAACCCATGCAGTGTCACTACCATCTACTAGTACTATGGTGTCATTGTATGAAACTCAGAACAAAACAGGTCCACAAAGTGAAAGTTGAATAAATTTGCATTAGGTTTTTTTAATGTAAGAATTTTTATCAATCAATACAGAATACAGTAACTATGAGCATAAATGAGCTCTCAGTACAGTGGTCAAAATGCTGGACACTGCTATTACCGATGGACACTGAACTGTTTGGCAGAATCCACATCAGGCCTTCAGAGCTTTGACTCAGTCCACTGTCAGCATGCGCTCATGCATGTCCAACCGTTGGTGATCTGGCTGTATGGCCTGCAGAGGCTGTACAGTCTTCCTTGGCTCTTGAGACCAGACCACCCATTGCTTACCTTGTTGGTGAAGATGACGCAGATGTCGATGACCGCCAGGGAGTTGTGGGAAGAGGTCTCGGAGGCCCGGCGGTAGGTCAGATAGGCCCGCTGGCTGCTCATGCCGATGCGGGTGTTGACATTGGCCGGGTTGCCGTTGGGCGTGGTGCTGACAATCTCACAGCCTGGCATCACCCGCTCCTTGCCCTCGTGAAGGATCCTGTGCAGGTGTGAAAATCCGGGAGAAGTACATCTGAAATAATACCCTTTAAATACTTGTCTTTTTGCACTACACAAAATGGGTGACATTGTCTGCTCCACGCAGGAACAACAGAGGGCGTTTTTCATTCATTCATCTGTCCACAACAATGGTGCCATCACAGTAACGGCTTCTTACTTTGGTCAACAAGTTACATGTACACGTAGGTGAAAAGTAACATCAACACAAACAGGTGCATTATGACAAAATGATACTACAGCATCTACAAGGTGGTGACAAATTATCGTCCATGTTATATGTTCAACATTAAATATTGGTACGTCATACATGTACTTGTTTGCACCAATGCATCTCGATTGAGCGCTGCCTAAGAACATGTACATGTAGCTATAACACCGAGCTTGAAGACAAGTATGATTCATTCTATTTGACATGATGAAAATCAACAGTATTTGTTGAGTAACATGCACATAATAAGTTCACTCCTGATACAAATCCATTTTGAAGTTTATTGATTCAAACAAAATACTCTCTTCAATTAAGAAGCCTCTTAGAGACCCCGTCTGAATTCAAATGAAATAAAATTTAAAATCCCCATTTTTTTACAAAAAGAAACAAAATAGGCAACCACCGCTGATTTACTTCTGACACATACATTTGACATTTTTCTCAGGGAAGAAACTTGTGGTTTGATTTGCAATTTTCCTGTTACATCCCCTTTTGATTGTTCCCTTTTCCCACACAGCCTCCAGGGAATGGCCCTACTTAGTAAAATGATACCCGTCAATTTGCCATTTCATTATAGCTCTTAATGGCCTACTGATCAAAATCACTGCCAACGGTTGAACACTTACTGTTTAGCCAACCCTTTCTTTACCCATAGTGAGAAAAACATGCACATTATGTGTGCATGCAACTACATGTACATGTATGAGGAAAAGACGAGATTATTTTTCTTGTTTCTTGAAGGGGAAAGAAAGCAACCAATTATGCGGCTAGCAATGACATTTAGGAACACTAAGACTCGAAGACTGTCTGAAGATTTTACAGCTAACCATAATTAATGAGAGACAGGAGTAGAAATAGTCAACCTCAGGGATTGCAAAGAAGCTGGGCATGTATTAAGAACATGGTGAAAACATACTCTCATCCTCGAGCTTACTCATATGTACGAATTTTAAGTTGTACCCGTACATGTACATATACATGTACATATGTACAATGTATAACATACTGGTATATCAGATACATGTATCTAGCGGTATGAGATGAAAGTTGGACATGCAATACAACTCATATGTATGCATTAGGTGAGGGTAGGGAATTCATTTCTACCATGTCCCTCATACAGCTTTGTAGAATGAAGTACAATGGGGCTACAGTGGAGATCAGTCTCAAATAATACAGTAATGCTGGTAGAATGCTGGAAGGCTTTTGCATTGGGTTTGGCATACCTCAGAAAAGCAAAGTCCAACAGCCTCTGTGCACAAAGTCCCACGAATGGGAAAGGTTAGGGGCAGCAACCCTTGGGGGTTAGGGTTAATAGAGCTTTTTTTGAAATGCACTGGTACTTCACTGTTGCTTGATGCAAAGATACAAATTCTAACTGTGTTGGTATCTCTTTTACTATGGCCGTTTCACAATAGGGCACCTCCAAGAGTTTGCAATGCATTGGCCAATCACAATGCTCGAAATTTGTCGAGTCTTTCTAAACGCACATTGGGTCGACAACTTTCGCGCATTGTGATTGGCCGACGCGTTGCAAACTCCTACTGGCGCACTATTGTGAAACGGCTGTATTGATACTGGACCCACAGCGTAATCACCACGAAGATGCGGTACATGTACCTTGATACTGTAGCTTAATCTATGAGAAAACTTCAATTTTTATGGGACTTATATGAGTGCGGGGGATGTGACTAAATTTTTTTTAAAAATCAAGTTAGTTGATTGTGCACATTTTTGTGCAAGTTAAGAGTGGGTTGGGGCAAGGCAGGACAGCAATCCTGACCTGTTGCTAGAACCAAGGCAAAGACAACCAACATGGATGCGTGAGTAACAAGGCACGGCGAGTCACTTCTCACCACACGTCAGCAGCAATGCACTAGGGCACGGACATCCCCGTGCCATGCGGTCAGCTCCGTCAGCTCAGTCAGCTTGTAACAGTCACTACCGTATTTACCCTGCTCCCAATTAGGTATCAAACAACGGACCTGACTAGCCAGGGAATTTCCTGATTGCAACATCTAGGCTATCAGGAATTTCCGGACACAAGAACAGCTGACAAGACAACTGTCAGGTTTTTGTTTGAGTAATCCTGTGCTTATCTCATGTACATGTACCGGACATATATACATGTACGTGTACCGGACAGATTAGTGTGCCCTCTTAATGTTAGGATGGGTCAGTGCTTTTCTTAACAGGTTAATGTAATTCCAGGATTTCCTCTCTTTGTTCATAAAGTCAATAAGTAAAATTCAGCTTCTTTCGGCTTTCAGCCAGAAAGACCATGTCTGTTTACATTCTGATGCTGCACTCAGCCAATGCGATACCAATTTACAACGTGCCAACTGAGAAGTACAAGGTGTGTGCTCTAAATCATGCGAAAGCTGTGCACAATTATAGGAGTAAATTTGAGACAGCTGATCTGATCCTAGTCAAAGAGCATCATCAACACACTCCACTAGTTTCAATGCCTACCCGATGTCTGTGAGGGGGAGCTTGTCGAAGCCCCTCTTGTAGCACAGGAAGATGGACGAGCTGCCGATACTCCCATGGTTGAGGTCGGCGACGAAACCAGAGGGTGTCGTCTCTATGACTGTGAAGCCCTGCGGGGGCTGCAGGGCACAGAAGAATTAGGGGAAGAAAATTGGAATCGGACGAGAAATGAAAGGATTCATCATCACTGACCCAAATCAGATTTCCCATCAGTAAATATCCCATGGGAGAAATTAAATCTAACAGAAATGCAACAACTACATACAGTACACATACTATACATGTACGTGTCACGTACAATGTATGTACATGTACATCAATTGTATCCAGCAGTAAATGATGGATTAAGTTTCATTTGCAACATACAAATCCTTTTGTCTCTTAACCAGGAAGCACAAATTAAATTTCAGTTGGAGTGTTCTGGCCCACAAATTAATTGAGTTTAATATCGCTTGATGTTGCTTGGAGAAAATGTGGAAAATTACAAACATGTACATGTACAGCCAGCATTGCAAGGAATATGGTGGCGGCCATTTTTTGTAGGCTCAAAAAAACATCAAGCCGGGATAGGAGCCCTTTGCTTGTGCGCAGCAATATGTGTCTACGCTATGCAATCAGTCTCCAGATCATCACCAGAGCAACCTACCTTTTCTCCTTGACCTCGAATGATGATGGCCACATCAGTGATTGGGGCCAAGGATCGGGACGGCTTCCGTTGCCCTTCACTCTGTATCTCCTCTTCCAGTGGCCGCGAATCCTTAGTCAGGCCAGCCACCACAAAATAGTTGGCCACTCGCGGACCGCTGTGGTCCTCCATGACTGGCTGCCTCTCACAGGATTCTGGGGGGGGAACAAATGATGACAGCATGAAATTACATTTGGTAAAATGACTACTCAACCTGTCAATTAGTACAGCCAGATTAGATTTTAATTTTTCATACTCTGCTGGAGTTGATCGCAGAGGGACGCAACGGTATGAGGGCTCAGACAATGTCGTACATATATATGCATGCACTGTTCATCAAGTTTACTGTTACATTTTGTAAGCTCAGGAAAGCCTAAAGTCCTGCAACAGCAAGGGAATTTACATTGTACATGAACATGTCCACTCCTCATCAGTCTGTATGTTACTACACCATACACCTGTACCATAGCTGTGGTGAACTGAATGGTAAAATCACCACAATCAGTTGGCAGTATGTAGGTACCTACCAGTGCAACATAAAGTACATGTACATGTAGGTACCTACCAGTGCAACATAAAGTACATGTACATGTAGGTACCTACCAGTGCAACATAAAGTACATGTACAATGTAGGTACCTACCAGCGCAACATAAAGCACATGTACATGTAGGTACCTACCAGTGCAACATAAAGTACATGTACATGTAGGTACCTACCAGTGCAACATAAAGTACATGTACATGTAGGTACCTACCAGAGCAACATAAAGTACATGTACATGTAGGTACCTACAAGAGCAACATAAAGTACATGTACATATAGGTACCTACCAGTGCAACATAAAGTACATGTACATATAGGTACCTACCAGTGCAACATAAAGTACATGTATATGTACTACCCGATGACCCCACTACAAGTTTGGATGCAATGTGGCTGGTTTTAAGCAGTCAGTTTAAAGGCAATCTGCACATCACCCACTGCACTATGAAGTGATGTCTGTAATGTCCATTTATTTATACATGTACCGTAAATGTATACTGCACACCACATTGTACATGTTTGTACAATAGAACACTTCAAAATGAAATGTTTACATAATGGCCTAAAAATTGTTGTTTTCAGATGTGGTTTAGATAAACGACATCGGGATGAAGGTCATTTCAAGGATAAATTGTGTTTTTCAATAAAAATTGCAATACATGTACGTACATGTACATGTACGTACTGTATACAGTATACATGCACATGTACCGGCACACATGGGTACCAGTATATTTACTGTACATGTGCATGTACATGTGTTTGTCAATGTAGAAGCACCAAAATCATAATGTACTCACTTTTCAAAAGATGTACATGTACACTAAATGGCAAAGTAATCATTTTGTATTCAAGTTACAAGACACTTGTAAGTCATGATACGAATGAAAACAGAATACAGTGCATCATAGCAGGGTTTAGCCTTGCAAGCAGTACTAAAACAAAAAGGAGGTCAACAATATGATTTGATTTATCCTGATCGACCTGTATGCTTCAGTCCCTTAAAAAGGCTGTGCGATAAACTCCTTTGCCTTACTACAACCAGCACAAAGGGACATGTTTCCACCGGGCAAAGCAGACTGATTTGTCGTCCCTGTGATTAATACACCGGTACACTACAGCAAAATTAGGAACAGTCACAGATGACAGCTGGATGGACAAGTCTCCATTTTGATTAACAAGATTGGGAACCATCCACTGAGCCGCCTACAGGAACCATTGAGCTGTCTTGCTGAAACGTCACTTAAACATGTGCGGCCAAGACTGAATTATGATCATAGTACCGTTATTGACATAAAAGGCTCTTACTCTAGGAAACAGACATGCTTTATCTTCTCCGGCAATTTACACATTACCGGGAATTTCTCAATTATCGGCTTTCAAGTCTGGACTTGCTTCAGAGACAATCAGCCAGAAAACTTACGACGATAACTTCTCAAAATGGTTGTTTGGAGATTAGGATGCAGGGAAAAGTACGTACATGCACCTCAAGGAATAGAAGTGATTAACTAAACACAGGATGTAAGAATCTTAAAGTTCACCTCTAAGGAAAACATGTTTTCTCTTATTTTATCGATTCAAATAAATATGGAAGCATCCAAATGAAACGCAGTGTCATTTGTCTTCAGAGCTCAACTACAACAAGCTAAAAAAGGGCTTTTTTCTGTTCATGCCCTTTTCTGAAAGTAGATTGTGTCATTCCGAGAAAACAGAGAAAACGATGGGACCCTTGCCCTGTGTTTGTAGTAGATGAACCTTGTGCATGCCAAACAATGCATGTAGCCATTGCTTGGCATGCAAGTACAAGAGTTTACCAACTTAGAGCATAGGGCGAGGGTTCCCCTCGTTTTCTCTGTTTTCTCAGAATGACGCAATCTACATGTACATGTACATTCAGAATTTGCATCTTGGCATGAACAGAAAAAAACCCTTTTTTAGCTTGTTATAGTTGAGCTCTGAAGACAAATGACACTGCGTTTCATTTGGATGCTTCCATACTTATTTGCACAGCTAAAATCAGAGAAAACATGTTTCCCTTAGAGGTGAACTTTAAAAATAATATCAGACCATGTACAAGTACATGTATGTGAAAGTACGGTATACTCAGAGTGCAAGTTTCGTAACATTCATGCACTCATGAATATTTGTGCTACATGTACATGTACATAGTAGTTAATGGGTCCTGTAAGTTATACAATAACAGTTACACACAGGGAAGTGTACACATACAATGCCAATGTACAAGTACATTCAGACATTACTCGTACATTGCACACTGTACATGTACAATAAACACATGTATAGTGCATGTGCATCCACACGAATACTGTGCACATACATGTACATGTACATGTATGCATTATATCATGCACATACATGTACTTAAGTTACCACAACAGGCATAGGTTTCTTGTAAAATCTTAGCACAAGTAAATACATCCTGCTATACTTTATTCGCACAGTAATACAGGCAAATGAAGGATTTCATACCACAAAACAAAACACGCACTTGATGTTGATTTTTTTTCTTAATGCGCCTACCGGTATGTGTCTCCAATACAGAGACAGCGGGTGAATCTGTGAGATCAGCATCAACCATTACAGCATGTGAGCCTCACACAACATCAAGCATCACTTCCAATTACTGTGCAAACTATGCGTGAATGGGAGGCGTTTGACATCCAGTGTGATTTGAAAGGTTTGAAAAGAAGGGGGAAACAGCCCCCGTCAAAGCACTTTGGTTTGTTCTTAGTCTCCGGACTTCCCGTCCGTTCCTGCGTGGCGGAATCACTGGACCAGAAGAAAACTCTGGCAATTTGATCATGCGCCAGACAGCACCTGCACTTTTAATGGCTGCCTGACAGTGACGCACGCACATGGCACTGGCGAGGCATGAAGGGGCGACAGCTGCAGCATTCTGTTCACGGCATTTTTTTTTTTCTTCCTTTTTTTTTTTTTTTTCGATCAGAGGTTCAGAGCCTTGCTAACCTTCACTCCAGCCTGATCGGTTTGATCAGGGACGATTTTCTCCCCCTCCCTCCCACCCCCCAGGGGGTTAAGGCGCATAGAGATTGGAAAAATATTCTGGATTTGATTGCACAGCAGGACTGATGACACTTCCAGGGTACACATGATTGTCGCCAACACG